ACTATTGCATTTGTCTCATACTATATATTTTGCATGAAATTTTATATGGGTTGAGAGTACGGAAATATTTATTGAGTTGATGAAACTTATTAAATTTCACAATAATATTTTTCAGATGAAAAAGAAGAGTCAGAACCGTTACTAGACGAGTAGAACTTGTAAAAAAGATTCATAGTTTGTGTATATTGTGCATATTCAAAAAAATTTCGTTTTATTTTGTTAAACTCTAAATTTTGACATCATGTTCTATATATATAATTATTATATATATCATATGAGATATTAGGTTGTATAATAAATTTTGATATATGTATATATATATTTTGTGGGCCAACTACATAAAAATGACATTAGTAAGAATTGCGCCTCATTTCAAGTGTGGAGTGTTATAATATGCCACTTAGAAGTAACATTGACAATATTAATTAAATAAAATTCTTAATAAATTGAGTTAAAAATATTAATTAATTTAATTAAAGACAAGCAAATTTAGGCTTTAAATGCATTTAGCCAAAAAATAAGAAAACTCTATTCCTCACGAGTTACAAATGCGGATAATTATAAAATGGTTGGAGTACTTAACCAATTTTATAAATATACTCAATTAATTTGAATTATTCATCAAAAAATTACCAAACAAAATTTAAAATATAGGAATATAACTTTCAAATAGCTTATTTTTTGTATTATTTAATAATTTTTTAAGGTAAATATTTTTTGTAAAATTTACATATTTAAATACACTTGTACAACAATGATAACATACAATATCTCAATTATAATATATAATATTTATAACATAAAACTGGAACTCATATGAGATATTGCATTTAAAAAATAATTAATAACTTTTTAATAAACATTAAGTAACTTGAGACAGACGAATTTAAATGTGTGATATATGCATCAAATCTTACTTTTATATAAAGTTTTAAGAAAGCAAACAACTGACGAGTGTATTATGAGCTTACAGCTGCAGCATAATAAATGTAGAACTCCACGATACCATGCAGGAGGCCGTGTTTTCCTACACCGGAAGGCTACAGCACAGAGCGTAGCAGTGGTCCGGTCGGGAAGAAGAAGGAAATATATAGAGATGAAGAAAAAGAAAAACAGAAGGGATCAACTGTCCTAAAAGTTTTGTAGATGGGCGGGAATTGAAGGAAAAAAAACAAAAACCAGAGAGAAAGAGATGAAGAAAGCGACTGCTTTTTCGATTGATCGCTGAATGAGTTAATTCAATACTTTGGCACTCAGTCTCACACAACACAACTCACTGCCATCTCTGTACTCCCCTGCATGCTTGCCTGCTTTTTCTCCATCATCCTTTCCCTTCATATATATATATATATATATATTAATGCTTATACGTGTAATAATATTAACTACTATATCATACATGTAGGGTAACTAGGGGAAACAGAACTGATCACTTCTTAATTATTACACTAGGGTTTTATTCTGCTAACCATGATGAATTCTAGGGTTTTAAGTCTTCTTCCCCTGTTTATTTTTCTTTAATACCTACCTCTGTTTGTTTGCTTTATTACACACCCACTATTCAAATTAAGCAGTAAGTAATGACCATGGAAGATATAATGCAGAAAGATTAATCATTTCATTATCAAGCTCGAAATTTATAGTTTTTTAAGGGTTTTATTGATTTAATTATAGTTTTTGTATAAGTATATTCTGTGCAAGGGAACGTAAAGATAGAGGGTATGTAACTGAAAGCCGAGCATAGTTTCGAAGGGTCTACATCCCGGCCTCTGAAGCAAAAATAAGTAAGAGCTGTTATATATACATAGTGGTGATTTCAGTTTTTATATATTATATGTATATATAATATGTAATTACTAGCCACGGGAAAGCTTTACAATAATAATATTATTATTGAAATTAATTAATTAATTAAATGGGGTGGAAGAAACAGCGTCGTTTCTTAGAGCCGCGCTTTACAGTGGCCGTACAATAATGACTCTCTCTCCCTTAATCATGCCTTTTTTTATTTTTTAACTTTTTTTAATAAATTTATATATAAATAAAATATATATACAAATCATAAAATAAAAATAATTTTGAATAAAAATAAATAAAAAACTAATTAAATGAAATATATATACCAATTATAATATGATAAAATAAAAACATTAATAAAAATTCATTTCTTGAAAAAAAAACATTACTAACGTCAACAATGTGTGGTTGTATTAACTGATAATTTAACCGAAGGGTCTTATTCATGGCAGTTCCACATACAAACCTCTCGACTTTTTTCTTCTTTTTCTTTTTTTCTTCCCTTCGCTTCCCCCTTTTCTTTAGATAGTATTGATTTTAGCCTATGTTCATCATAATCATAATCTTATTTTTTTTACTTTTTTCTTTTGAAGATACGCTGGTAATTCTAAGCCCTAAGAGCTCACAAGTTAAGATTATGGAGACCAGGGCTTTTGTGGAAGCAAGCTAGCTAGAAAGTGTTGTTGATGTTGATGATCTGGTTGTTTTCTAATTAAAGTTGGTTCTAGCTAATTTTCACATAGCCTTCTCAGGACCATTTTGACATGGGTGAAAACAAAGGAGATACAAGTAAGAAGTTGCCACAACAAGCACCGCCGCCACAACCACCTGCTCAGCAACAAACACAGCAGCAACTTTCTTCTTCTGATCCGAAAGATCCGCTAGACGAATCAAATTTAGAATCGTCAAGGCATCAACATCACCAGCAATCCTCTGCTGTTGCGGTGAGTGGAGCTCCTTTCATATCCCCCTCTCTTTATGTCCAAATTGGTGCAACTTCTTCCCCATTTGAGCAACAGTTTGAGCCAGTGAATCCAAAGAGAACCAGGTATAGTAGCGGTCAATGGAAGCTACTACCATCTCCTTCATCTCAACAGAAACAGACCCAGATAGCTATTCAGCCTATACTCGCCGCCGCAGAGTCCAGTCCATCGCCGACCACAAACCCCATCAACTCACAAGCTCAAGTAGCTCAGACGACCGCGGCCTCCTCTTCAGACACCGCATCATCTCCATCCCACTCTCCTATCCCATCCATCTCAGCAGGATCAGGCCAAGATACGAATAAACCAGAAGGAGAGCAAGTTCACCACCAATACAGAAAAGGGAAGTATGTGAGCCCAGTATGGAAACCAAACGAGATGTTGTGGTTAGCCAGAGCGTGGAGGATTCAGTATCAAACCGGGTCTGATGGGTCAAGATCCGATCACACAGAAGGTGGTCAAGGCGGCAGTGAGATGAATGTGCAATCAACAAGAGGGAAAACTCGTGCTGATAAAGACAGGGAAGTAGCTGAGTTCTTGAACAGGCATGGGGTCAACCGAGATGCCAAAACTGCGGGGACAAAGTGGGACAACATGTTGGGAGAATTTAGGAAGGTGTACGAGTGGGAAAGAGGTGGAGAGAGAGAGCAAATCGGTAAGAGTTACTTCAGACTTTCACCTTATGAGCGGAAGCTGCACAGATTACCCGCTTCTTTCGATGAGGAAGTGTTTGAAGAATTGTCTCAGTTCATGGGTCCTCGCATGAGAACTTTGCAGAGCAGGGCTGCAATATCTATAATGGCCTCTGGTGATGACAGTAGGGCAACTCATTCAGGCAATAGATCAGCTCTGCCTCCTCCCCCTCATTTCAAAGAAGAAGATCTTTCTCTCTCAGGTAATAATTAACAAATGAAACCCACATTTCTTGTTATTCTTTTTTGTCGTCTAAACAAGGTTGTTCATTTGTTTTAGCAAGGGCGAAACAACTGGGTTTGACAAGTGGAGGTGATCAGGCATATATGCATGGTGGACGAGGGAGTTTGTTAGGGTTTGACCCTGCTCTTGGGAATATCGTTGTAGCTCCTTCTTCGGGTACTTGTTCGAAGGAGATGCGTAGAATTGGGAAGGTGAGGATGACATGGGAAGAGTCAGTGAGCTTGTGGGCTGAAGAGGGAGAGCACCATAGAGGGAGGGTGAAGCTTCCCGGTTCAAGCTTCTTGAACGCGGATGAACTAACTTTCTTTGACGACGCCATGATTGCTTGCACCATGGAAGCTTTCGAAGATGGTCCTCTTAAAGGATTCTCTGTCGATAGATTCGTATCTGGACAGCAAGTGAAGGTCTTTGGCAGACGAAAGTCTTCCTCGTCTTCAGGTATAAGTAAATATATAACTGGTGTATATCCTGATAATAATATTTGATACATATTTTTCTACTGTCTTGGAATCTCCATTTGTACATACATTACTGATCTCTTTCTCTTTCTGTGATGACACAAGGTTTCAATGAGAGATCAGTTCAATTATCGTTGCCTGAACCATCCGTTACAAGACGTAAGTGATCATAACTCAAATCTCTAATAATGTTCATCAATCTTAATAACTTATTTCCTAGTGGTCATCTCTGAAGTCTGGACTTAAAGTTTACTGCAAGGGAATTGATTTATCACAACATTATTAATTATTATTTCAATGTTTTTTCTTTGGCCGATATTTCATCAACTATTTATTCAATTATATATCATGTGAAAAATGCAATAGAAGAAATGCCCATTGCAGGGGTGATATCAATATGTTCATATTGAATGTTTATGCATGGATTATAAATCAACCTTTAGCTTAATGGACATATGATTTGAAATCTGCGTTTTATTCATATCATATAGCAATAATGTCGCCGTCATGGGAGTTTCAAGACCCAAGTGATTACTACGTGGGCTGTCTCCGAACTCCTCCAACGGCACTACCAAGCTTGTTTGAGCTCTCATGGCACTTACAGGAGCCACCACCGGAAGAATTCCGGTTTCCCCTCAGAAAGGACGTTTATAAAGATTTGCCTCAAGGGAAGGAGCTTTTCTTCACCACTTCGATGGAACCATTAGATTGTAGAGCCATCACATACGATATCTTAAGCCCAATTATCCGTACTAACCCTATTCTCAGTTTTGCTACTGCAACAATCCGGGACTCTTTTATTGGCTTATGGGATGATTGTATTAACCGGGTGGTCTCTAAATTCTGTTCAGTCGAAATGGTTATCATAAGAAAACCCTCGTCTTTTTCGACCGAGCCAATGCAAGATCAATGGCCTAATGTGACTGGCTTTGTCAGGAATTTTTGTTTATGGAGGGGAGAAGAGGATGATCAGTTAAGAGAAGGTCAAGTTGACCCAGCGTCTTCATTAGTAGAAAAGCTTTTTTGGTCTTACATGGATCTTCCTTACGTTTTAGGTTACTACGCAGTTGGGTACACGGTGACGTTTTGTGCGTTGAGTCGATCATCACAAGATCGCATTAGCAGAACAGATTTATATTCTCTAGACCTTTCATCTCCATCGGAGAGATTAAAAGCCCTAGTCCCATGCTACAGAATAGCAGGCCTCCTGTCTTTGCTGGCCGATCGTGTCGTCAACAGCAGCGTTAGCGGCAACTACAAGCAATACCCTTTTAGTGATTTCGAGAGAATCGACCTGGGTTACAACGGAAACGCCATGGAAAGGACTCCAAGCACCGTGACCATGCTGTTCTCGAGTAAAAGAAAATGGGCTGCACTAAAAGAAATATACGATTTCCTGGACCATAGAATCCCTCATGCCGAATTCTTGTATGGATCATCAGAGAAAGATTTAGCATTGGTTTTTAAACCCAGAGGCTGCAAATCGAAGCCGACTAACTTCAACCAGCTCGTAGAGGCTCTCAAGTACGTGACCAAAGCCCTTGTTGCACTACACGATCTCTCCTTCATGCACAGAGACCTGTGCTGGGAGAAAGTGGTGAGGAGGATCGACAGAGACAACGAGTGGTTCATTTGCGGGTTCGATGACGCCATAGACGCCCCACAGATATACCCGCACGGAGTTGCCGCCCTGAATGAGGCGCGTGGAAGACAAGCGCCGGAGATGGGGAGAGGGTTGCATGGGGTGAAGGTGGACGTATGGGGCGTGGGACAGTTGATGAAGACATGTGGGCTCCCCAACTTGCCAAAGATGCTTAGGGAGCTGCAGAACAGGTGCTTAGACCAGAACCCGGAGCAGCGACCAACTGCCGCGGACTGCTACCACCACCTGCTGCAGCTTCAGTCGTCCCTGTCAGCATCCTCCGGTAGTTCTGCAGCCTATTGACAAGACCACATTGTTAGATCAAACATTGTTTTTTTTCTTTTTAACATGAGAAGGCCAAAGTAATTTATATCAACAAGAGAAAAAGAAATGATTTTGCGAATAGATTAATCTATTTTTGGGCATTTTCTGTATTCTTGATACCTTAAAATTCAGGAACGAAAATATTTTGAGTCGGGGTGGCAGGTGTCAAGACTTGAGAGGCTGGGAGGTTCTAATCTGGTCTGAAACTGGAGGGTGAAAATGGCGGCTGTTTCTCAAAAGGCCGGCTTCGCGGCTACAACATTTGGGGTCATTTTCTATCACATCAGAGCTTTTTTAATCTTTTTTAATTTAATTAATGATTTTTGCTAGTGGTATTTGATATATTTTAGATGTGGGAATATTTTGTATATATATATATATATATATAAGTCGTTTCGCCAGTTCGTACGTAGTATCTTACTGTTATTATGTATCTCGAGAAGGTGGACGGATTTGTGATAATAGCTCTCTGCATTGTTTAGTTATGATGAGCTGATGGATGATATGATTGGGTACTATTTTTTTAATTCTATAACAAGAAATAATAAAATTATTTTTTATTAAATTAATATTTTAAAATAATTAATTACAATAATTTATTTAATAAATAATTTGATTTTTTTTAATTAGTTTAGGAGTGGATATACTTATTTCAATTTAAAAACTTTTAATTTTAAATTAATTTTATGTAAAGTTGATTCCTTCCGTTTCAAATTTCATCTTTTTTTAATGATTAATTCTCAAACATATATTTTTTAAAAAAATTTATTTGTTACAGCATATCAATGTCATCAAATGAAGGTTTTTTTTTTTTAAAAAAAAAAAATTCTTTTATGAAAGCAACTTGATTACAAGAGTAGAACACTATCCCTAAACTACAAAGGGAAGCAAGCAACGTGATATGATGTACCATAGTTTAGCTACTCAAAATGGATAACACTTTTCTAGATAAAACACTAAAATTCTTTATAAATTTTAGAAATTCTAAAAGAACCAAAATACATAAAAGAAACATTAAACACGGGTACATCCTCTTATATAAGTCCAAATTCAGAGTTTGGAAGAGGAGAGATGAGTAATTTACTATAGACTACCTTACAATCTCTTTTAACCAATACCTTGATGGAAACCCATACCTCTTGCTAACACCATACTATATTATATGAGCACATGTATCTTTGCAAGCTCTAGGAAAAAGGAGATGGGATATTATGCATGCCAAAAATCAACAATTCACCTTCGTAGCCTCTAGCAATAACCCTTAAAATCGACCAACTAACTTTATCCATTGATTCATTGGCATTAACTTTTTTTTTTTTTATCATGCCCATCGAAGGAGGGACGCATCAGTCTTTCTATCTTGTTGTTGAATTGTGATGCATATTAATCAGTAGGTCTCAAACTCATGGATATAATCCTAAAAAAAACACGTGAATTAAGTTAAGTGGGTTAATTCACGAGTAATGATGTATCCACTGATTTTAAACCCTTCAAATCCCATAAAATGTGCATATAAACCATGGGTTTTTTTTTTTTATTTTATAGATTTTGATGATAAACCATCATCAAGCCAATTGTAGAATTTGTGAGGGTGTTGAGAGTCTCCCCTAAGTGGAGACAATCTCCAGATTTCTAGGTATCCTCTTAAACTCTAGAAGATGTCAATTATCTTCTCTCAACGCAAGAGACATATTGTATCAAGTTGCACACCGTTATGGGCCGATATAGTTTTTACAAGTTATATGTCTTGACAGAAATGACAAACCATATGTTTAACTAGAGGTAATATAGGGGCAATCCCAATTGTTTCCTAGGGATCTCATTATTGCTATTGAAAGTGTTGACCTCATCAACACCACATTTATACCATACTTAATAGTACCCCTATCTCATTATGTAATTTTTTTTCCTTTGTATTGACATAAGCTTATCTGGGGGTAATTTTTTGCTTAGTAGTATTGTGGTGATAATTTATGCATCTTGAAGGGTAGACATAGACTCAGTAAAATCTATATTCTATGCTACTCTCAAGGATCAATCAAATTTACTACCGTATCAATAGGAGACACTAAAGGTCGTAGAGTGTAGACTCATGCATCAACTTAGTTTGACAACCATATATCAAGCTAAACGATGACTCTTTCTCAATTCTTTATTGTCCATTTTAGCTTCTTTTAGCAATGTTCACCCTGCAAGCAAACTTTGCCATCCATAACTTGGATAATGCCCTATAACAACTTATGGACAATCTTCATTCTTGAAATATCTTGCTTGTAGAACTTTGTAAAAAAAGTGCAGACTCATGCACTAACTTAGTTTGACAACCATTTATCAAACTAAGCAATTACTCTTTCTCTATTATGTATTGCCATTTTAATTTTTTTCTAGCAATGTTCACCCTGCAAGCAAACTTCACCATCCATAACTTGGATAATGCCCTATAACAATTGATTGATAATCTCCATTCTTGAAATATCTTGCTTATAGAACTTTGTAAAAAAAAAGATTGTGGATTTGACACTAATTTCCATGTTTATTTGGCCAATATAACAATATTAAAAATTCAAAATCTCTTAAGCCTAGCCTGCTATTATTTTTATTGGAATACAAATTTGACCAATGTACTTAATGCAAGGCTTTATCATCTTAGTACTACCACCAAAATCTAGCAACGAGTTTTTTTTTTTTCGATTGTACATAAATTACTTCTTAGAAATCTGAAACTTACTCATAGCATAGGAAGATATTGCTTGAGCAACAACATTAACACCCGACTTTTGAGTATCGGGTTGCCAACTTTGTAATCTTTTCACAAACTTATCAACTAAGAAGTGAAAAGTTGAGGAAGTAGAGTGGCCAATGATTGGGTAAGACTAAAATATTTATCATGATATTCCATTTTCCTAACATTCAGAATATTTATAAATTGACACCTTTTTTTTTTCCAAAAAATAATCCCTTAATGTAAATTAATGGCTTCCCTTGAAACAACAACATAATCCTTGAGCATTTTCTCAATTTCTTGTAGTTCTTTTTACATTACTCTTCAAAAAATAATGATAGCATTAACAAAAAAGATATGAGATATTAATGATGCATTTCTACAAATCTAGACACTATGGAGGTGCATCTCTAATTCAGCTCTAGTTTGCAATTTTTCATATAAAATAAATAAAAAGAGAGAAGATCGTCTTAATGAAGATCCTTTCCTGGGTTGATAACCTTGGATGGTTTCTAAATTACCAAGATTGAATAAGTAACATTGGTACGATGTTTCATGATAAAAGCCACAACATGTGAGTGCAAACCCAAACTCTCATGCATTGTTTCTAAGAAAATTTAATCCACCAGTCATATGCCTTGCTTAATATCAAGTTTTAGAACAAATAATCCAGCCTTTTTGTGAATGAATTTTTAAGAAGTGAAGTATCTCGAAAGTTACATATGCATTATCAATGATTTATCGTTTTGAAATGAAAGCAGAATATATTATACTAACAATGAAATTCAAGAAATTCTTAAGCCTCTTAACATTTCACGATGCGAAACTCATGATCAACTAATGTGATCATAAAATTCTATAATTAATCTAATATTCAAAATCTTTAAAACTCTCAACAAATTCTCCTTACGTTCGCAACAGCGCGTTGGTGTTGTTTGTAGTGGAAGCGTGGCGGCACATGTTAAGTGGTGTATGTGGCAATTAATAAAAATAAGATAGAATACAAGAATATTGATCCAATTCAACTACTTAATGGTCCAATTACAAGAGTGAGGTTGAAGAAATTCAAGGACACATTAAATGGGATGATTCAAGGCTTCTGGAATGACATTAACAAAATTCAAGAATGCAACAAGGAAGCATGTATCGGGCTTGGGCTAAATAACATAAATCGAAGCTTGATCACATTAACTTAAGTGGAAGTTACACCAGTCCAATATGAAGTTGAACCAGTTTTCTTGGATGGACCATAACTTAGGCTTCTGATGTCCAAATTAGGTGATTCAAAATTCTAAACTTATTTACACATTTGGGCCTATAATTTTTATGAAGAAACCCAGTCCAATTTCAGATTTTATCAGCTAGATAATTGGCTCTTAAATTTTAGAATGAATTCCGATTTAGATACATTGGATCTAGTTATTTTTATTTATTATTTCTATACTTTTGCTTTTTCTTATTACATAGAAACATTTACTTAGTAATATGAAGAGTTGTAACTCTTAGAAGTCTTGAAACTTATCTTGGAGGGTTGTTCCATCTATAAATAGATAGTATTCTTTTTTGTAAAGACACATAAGTTAATATATGAATTTACTTAATGCAAAGTTTTTTAAGAGAGGTTTTTCTCTTGTTTTGATTCTTGTTTGAATGAAGGTTCCTGTAAGCAAAACTAATTTGTTTGTGAGTTGTTTATTCTAAGATTCTCTTCAAGGGTTGAATTTAGGTTATAGATTTATCCTAAAGTTCTCTTTCACAAATTAAATTTGGTCAATGAGTTAGTAAATCTAATTTAGCTTTCCAAGGGGTTGCTTCCAAGCATAAAGATATTGGGTCTCGGGCTTAATATACCCTTAGTTCATATCGGTTTGGTATCAGAGCTTAGGCTCTAAATCAGGTTAAATCCTTTGTGTTTCATCTCTTTATTTCTGTTTCATTATTTAAAGTCTTTGTTTCCATTTCAATCATCTATATCCATTTGTTAATGTTCTGCATCTAGCATATCAATTTAGTGTCCTTTCATTTTTCATTCGTTTTAACTTGTTTTATGTTGTTATTTTTCATCATTTGTTGTCCTCCATCTCTTTATGAATTGTTTGTCATCCAAAAGTTAGTCCATTCAAGTTTATTTATGTTGTGTTACATAAAAAAAAAAGAAAAATCGAAAGAAGATAAAAAGAAAAGTAAAAAAAAGGGAGATCAAGAGGCAAAAGAAAAAAAAATAGATTGAACAAAAAAGAGGATTCAAAAAGGAATTGAAACAAAAATTCAGTTTACTTTCCTAGATTGAAATTTCTTTTAAGTCGTAT